ATACGTCACAGCATTAGCATATGACACGACGTATTGATATCTTCAGATGTCATGTAATACCAAGGGAATATGAATAATGTGAAGTTTTCTATCAAAAACAAAGAATATCTGATATCCAAAGTCGAGGAGAAGACTGGGTCGAGTTAGTATTGCAATGCATTGTGGGCCTGTTTAGGAAACATATTTCCAAGATGGCGTCTATTTCGTCTCCTAAAACAGTCCCACAATATACTGTAATAGACCAAATTCAAAACTCGCACCGATGTGAGGCTTAAGTTGTGAACAAAGGGATCTGGCGTGACTCAAAGTAATCTGGCGTGATTCAAAAGTAACGAATCACGCAACATTCCTTTGTTCAAAACTTAAGCCTCATATCGGTGCGAGTTTTGAATTTGGTCTATACCAACTCGTCCCAGCCTTTAACTCGACCTCGGAATGGCTAACTACTTTCAAGATATTGTGCGATCATTCTGCCCATTGTTAGCTTSCCTCCGTGTTTTTGTATTAGCCAATCAGAAAGCTTACACTAGATTCTTCATTTTCTTTCGAGAAAACGATCTTCCATGGCAGCGAATGCTTAAAAAAATTTCAATTTTTTTCACAGATTTTTTGCGTTATTAAAAAAATGGCAAACAAGACAAGAAACTTCATTTCGATCGTACTTGCCTTCCTGATCGTTATGGAATGTCTTCATCCAATTTTAGCCATTTCTCCTTTGGGCAAATTCCCTTTAACAAGCTCAGGAAATGGAAAGCTAACTCTACCACTCGGAAAAACCGACCTGAAGCCGTCGGTTTGCAATATGAAAGAATTTCGGCAGAAAATACGACACCGAGGTTGTACTCCGGTCTTCGTCACCAACAACATGTGCTATGGACAATGTCTGTCTTTCTTTATCCCGAAGCGAAGGAAAGAYTTCAAGTCGTGTTCATACTGCACACCTATAGAAAAGAGAATTCAAAAAGTTAAGTTGAGATGCCCGGGTCAACGACCTCGCAAGAGAGTCAAGAATATCAAGATAATAACTCGYTGTGAATGTAGAATATGCGGGCATGATTACATCTGAAACACAGATGCGCAGCTCCCAGAGAACTGAATCGTGACTTAAGGAGCGATTACACGGAGCAATTTTCTCTGCACCATTTTTCAGATTGCGTTGTAGGTTACACGCTGCAATGCGCCATGCATCTTGTGTCGCAATGCCGTTCCAACTCAAGTTGCAGAGAAAATTGCTCCGTGTAATCGCGCCTTTAGTCCCAAAATAATAGAACTGATATTTTAATCAAATAACTAAGTAATCTAATACTGTATAACTGTATAGATTTTGCTCAGTGACTTATAGAGAAAATATAGGAATTAAATATGAGTACAGTGGAACCCCGCTCTAAGGACACCCGCTTAATAAGGACACCCCGCTATTAAGGACAGGTTTCAAAGTCCCAACGAAAGCTCCATACATTTTCTGTTAAATTAACCCGCTTTATAAGGACACCCGTCAATAAGTACAAAGGACACATTTCTAGGACCTGAATAACAGTTTTCATACAAAATCAACCCCGCATTAAGGACACTTGAAATTTGAAGACGTCTTTACTGTATTTGTTTATTGATATAATGAGCTTAATACGGAATATATTGTCAGTTTTTTCATATCAACGGACCACACACTGATCATTGCAGTATAGTTTCCTATTACAGCATAATGAAATAGACAAAGCTCGCAATACCATTGCAYTGTTATTTTCCAGAAATCAACTTAAAATGAAATTGTACAATGCAGTGCAGTAAATGCGAAWGTAGTTCTTGTACRGTMATGCACTTTTTRTTCCAGTTTAGGCTGTTATACTGAACATTGTAGTTCAAKCTTTACAGTACAGTAAAAATAAATGGTTAAAAATGTGTTTACAGTAGTTTTTCTGACATCTCGGTTAATAGGGACACYCYGTTAATAAGGACAGTTTTGTCCGTCCCAACGGTGTCCTTATTAACGGGGTTCCACTGTATACGAAAATTAGAATATGACTTTAAATAGCGTATGTATGGAGTTTGTTTAGTAGCGGGATGTCATGAACTTGGACGCTCGGGGCATACTACTCGATGACGAGATGAAGACAATTTTTTCCAACAGCGCYAAAAATATTACAGGGCACGGTTGTACGAAGTGTGAAWAGCGCAATCCGGCGGATAAATCTTATCCAGAGAATAAATTTATCGGGTWACAGCATTGACTTATCCACTGGATAAGGATATATTTGTTGGATAGCGCTATTYACCCGGCCTTCGAACAACCGGGCCCAGATGTCCAACGTGCGCAAATAGAGAGAATGGCGGAATGTGCGCGAACAAAGAAACCTCAAAAGCGCGCGAAAATGTAGTTTCATTTATTGACGAATCAAAGCTTGTCTTAAATTTAGTTATTTTAGTGTGTGAATTAAAACTGATAATTACTCGGACTACCTGTGGTTTATAGACAAACCTGTGTTACCAGTTTAATAAATTCGCAAAACATTAGGCAGTAACGTGACGCGTGACGGCCTTGAGATGACGTGACGCGTGTTCACTGTTCAATTCAGTGCCCCAATGTTTTTGATTGGATGAACAGTTATAGTCAAGCACTGTAATTGGCTCGGGGGGCCAGATCTGTYATTTCCGCTACACTGTCCAGCAATTTTTAACACTTATACGAAATCGGTTTTCACAATTGTTAGGGTGGTTGATGCGCATGCTCAAGGCATGAAACACATCGGACTTGGTTTTTTAACGGGAACATCGGACACATAACTTTATTTTCACGCTAATATTTCCTAGTGTCGGTTCGATGAGAGGGCCCTGGGAACGAGGTTGATGAAACACGTAGCCTTCGAACACTGCTTACACCAAACTAGCTGCAAACTTTATATGAAACACGAATAACAGAACACGAACAACTTGATCGAGAACAGGWGAAACTTGACTGAGAACAGGAAAACTTGATTGAGATCAGAAAAAACTTGATATATATCATACACAACTTGATTATGAAATTTTGTAGCTCGATATTTTTTCACGTTTGGGCTAGCATATGTCAACTATGATCTGTGAAACACGAGTCACCTCATTTTGCGACTCAGTTCAGATGTTTTTATGTTTCAAAGAGCCAAAGTAAACTACCAATGATCTCTTCAGTGTGGGCTGAAGGTGACGAGCCGAGAATAGTTAGACTCCTAATAAGAGGGCCAAAAGTGTCGGCAAAACGAACAAGTTTAGGGTCTGAACTGAGTGCAAGAAGGATGGATGTGAAAAAAGAAGGAAAGAAAGAAGAAAAAATGAGGGAAGGAAGAATGAAGTAAAGTGGGAAGAAGGAAAAATTAGAGGGAATAAATGGGATATAGGAAAGAAAGAAAAAAAGAAATTAGTGAGGCAAGGAGGGAAGGAAGGAAGGAAGGAAGGAAGGAAGGAAGAAAAGAGAACATACTCGGAAAAGAGAGAAAAAAGAGAGAAAAAATGGAAAGAACAAAATAAAGCAGAGAAAAAAGAGGAGAAATGATTGAAAGAAAAGGAGAGGAGAAAGCCACCATTAATAAACAAAGATTTGACAGGTATCAAAAAATCGTAGACATTTTAAGTTAATAGATTTTCCATACGAGTTCACTTTTGATTAATATTGCAAGACCTTTTGAATTGAACTCAAAATATAATACCACAGTCTCAATTTGACAAAGTAAATACAATAAAGCTACAAATACGAACCAAAAACGCTTTGCGCTTGAAATAAATCAACTACACATACCGCGCGCGTGGCGGAATTACTTCAATACGCCTACGGAAGTTCCTCTCCCCTCGTAAGTATTATAATACTATACTCGCTTCTCATTGTGCTATTTAACCCCACAGGGTCATTGCCGCTCAAGGCATCAAGGCAGACGGTCTGGCCTAGCTCTCCMAGCCAGCCAAAGTACATCGATCTTAAGTTTCCATCGCTTGTTTACCATGAAAATGAAGGGAGCGCTGTTACTTTTGGCGGTGGTGTTTCTTGCCTTTGATAAAGGATTTTGTCAGAGACGCGCTCGAGAGGAAAAGTTCACTCGTTTTACATTGATTTGTCCGAAGGAGTGTGAATGTTGGAAAGAGATTTCACCTCAGGATTCAAGTTCTGGTGTGTTGGTCAACTGTACAARTAGGAAACTCAAGCAATTCCCGTCTCCACTGCCAGCCTCGACGATAACCTTGTAAGTAATTTCATGGAAACCATTTGAAAGCATTTAAAAGCCATCGTAGAGCATGCTTAATTGATAAGAAGCCRTTTTAGTGCGTGTGTAATGCATCGATCAATCAGATAAAAACTCGTAGTGTTTGTAAAGGACTTCGTAGGACATTTGTAAACGTATAGAATCGAATGAACAACCGCATTGATTTGAAATTCAAGAATGCTTTTATGCTTTTATTTTTATGCTTTTATTCTTAAAAGTCTCTAAATGTTATGTGATGTTGAATGTATGAGATGTTGGTTATCTGCGGCTGTTCTCTTGCGGGTTCATATGTCACGAATAGAGATTGGTTTACAACATTGTTTACAGTATTGTACTTGTTTAGAAGGAAGAACTATGGCACCAATAAAAAAAAATATGATAAATATCGGCTTTTGCTGGTAGGTATAGTCAATTTTGTAGGTATAGTCAATGATGAAAAAAAAAAATTTAATACTCTATAGAGATATTAATTTTTCTCCTGCTTTATCGCTATTCATCGTAATAGTATTACTGATGTATTAAATGAGAGTTGTGCTATGTCTGGGTTTAATGATATACAGCTCAAACGCCATGTGATACGATCCAGCTTTTCTTCTACATTGACCTATACAGCCAGCATACCTTCGATAAGCGGGGGTTGACCTCAACAAAATCATTTCCGTTCTAGTAAGATTTTATAGAGATTTTAGGCTTAGCTGTGACGGCGATGGGGGAAAACCTTGGCTATGCTTCCTAATCAGCTAAAMGTCCTCACAAACTTCACTCAAAAAWCCAATCATGAAAAAWATCAAGGCATTCTTTTCTAAATATACCAGATAAGGTTTTTGAAGGTTTTCTCCTCTTGAACTAATCATCATGATTAATTTAAATCTATCAAGCAATCAATAATTCATTTAATACCTGATTAATAAGCTATTTAATTCAAACATTTTTTGCATTGGAATTCTAAATGCTTAGGTATTACAATAGTG